ACTATTCTATTCCAATGAAGAAAGTCCCACATAAACTAAGACATGGATTTATGCGAAATTCCTTTGTATTTGTTATTATTATTCTCATATTTGTGATGGCTCTTTCATAAATAATATTTATGACATATTTATATTTAATATAAACATATAATTATTTTTAATTTTTAAAAATAATCTGTAAACGAAATAATGAAGAACATAAATGCTGAACTGGGAATGATCCAATTTAACCAGGGAAAACTCCAAATCCTTATAAACTTCAAAACAAAATGTCAACCCTAAATACTGCTTACTTTCTCCACCAACATTTGAAAGCAACAACCAAATATATTAGAGAATAAGTTAAAATTATAAGTAACAGCGTAAAAGATTATCAGTTTGAATCTAAAGCCTCATTCCTCTAACTGATTCTACTCTATGCCAGGTCTCAAGAAAATGGCAATTTTTTTAGTGTATGGGCACTTTTCAAGATTTAACATCTGGAATATTGGAAAAGAGAAATACCATAATAGTAAAATAGGACTTGTCATAATTGTGTTTTTCAAGAAAGACCAAGTATAAGGAATTAAATTAAATCCACAATTTTCAATTTACTTTCTCTTGTTGTAAACCCGAAGACAAGTAAATTGGGGCTCTAAGAAATTATAAAAGTAGATTTAGAAATTCATAAAAGTACCAGTAACTGAAAATAAGTTGAGAGACAAATACAATAATTTTAAAAAGGAAATAGCGAAAACTAAGCCTTGAAAATTAGAACTCAATTAAACTCTAATCATCTCTAAAATAGAACCATTCCACATAGTATCCCAATTCAATAACAATTTGTAAAAGTAGATTTAGATGAAAATAAGTGGAGAATTAAACAAAAATAAAATTTTTAAAAAGGAGACAAACCTGGTGGCATCTTTAACATGGGCAATCGATTAGTGAGAAAAAAGTGTCATGAGACTTTTTAATTTTTAAAGAGGATAATGGTGGCAACTCTTCTTCAAAAAAATGTCTGTATGCTTGGCGTCTATTCGTAGGGTGACGTCTGTTGTAAGGGACTTTGCTGAAGTGACGCACGTTTTAGGTTCTCATATTTAAGTTAATTAAAAGGACACTTTAATAAATAATAAGGGGGTAATTTAGTAATTTGACTTTTAGATTATGATGTTCCTACTTTTAATATAGTGTAGATATAGATAGATTAGCCAAGCAAATTATGTTAGCTTATGCTTTTAGACCTGATTTTCTTAGGTTCTTTTATGGTAGTTAACATTTGGTCAGGGAGGCAAAAAGTTCTCCTAAGTTTTCTTTTAATGGTGGTCATGTCTAAGCCATTTTACTCACATTTCGACTAATTCACTAGATATTTGTTACCATTACACCCATATGGACAGTGGATAACTCTTCCGCAACGATTTAGACAATGGAAATATATTATTTACCTAGTGTGTTCACACACTAAAATTTGAACCTTGATTCCCAAGGTTGTCTCTCCGACCCTTCGACCATCAGGATGTTGTTATGGTTTTGCTCTGAATTTCTAATCTATTAAGACTCTCTTTCTTGATGGAAAAGGAAAAGACTTCTAAAAAAAAAAAATCTCCTTCAAATACCTTATCCTTTTTTGGAGGAAAAGTTTTTGAGATCTATTATGACTCATCAAAAGAGTCTTGTTTAGGAGAAATTTTTTCTCTCAATAGTTTTTTTTTTCTACTAGTTTTTATATGTAGGTTAATTGACCAAACCCATTATAGTATCCTATTTTAGTACTCCCTCCATTCCAGTTTATGTGTGAACCTGTTTCCTTTTTGGTTCGTTCCAAAAAGAATGACCCATTTCTAAATTTAGAATCAATTTAGTTTAAACTTACAATTCTACCCTTAATGAGAAGTTTTTATAACCACACAAATACTCTAAGCCCCTTTTTGACTTGTTTAGGATCACAAATTCCAAAAGTTTTTATTTTTTCTTAAACTTCGTGCCCGGTCAAACAGGTTCACATAAATTAGAACGGAGGGAGTATAATTCTTTTGTCGTCTTGGTTTATCGTCTACTAAATTTTGTATTGTTAGCTTCCGCATGCATCAATTTGAACGACAATGAAGACTTATCCAACAAATTTGAACATGATGCTACATGTGGAGATTAATTTACCATCACAAATATTCTAAATCCTTGTTGCTGCATCATTATAAAAATAAAAACTGACTTTTAATCCATGTTTGAGCCACTTTTAAGCAATGTCAGTTTTAAGCAATGCCTACTTGTAACAAGTGAGCTCTAATGCCAGTTTTAACTCATGCTTATTTTTAACGCATATGCTAGTTTCAATCAATATCAGTTTTAACTCATGCTTATTCTTAATGCGTGAGCTCCTTTTAACCCATTCTTGGGCTTCTTTCAACCAATACCAAGATTTTTCTATTTATACCTATTTTTAATCATGGCAAGCAAGAGTGATGAAGATTATGTGAAGAAGGTGACTCAAGTTTTGTCAAGAAAGTTCAGGCCAAGGAGAGAATTATTAGGGTGTTTCCCTAAATTTCTAATCTATTTGGACTCTTTTTCTTGAAGAAAGGGGAAAAGACTTCTAAAATGAATAAATCTCCTTCATATAACTTATTCTTGAAGGAAAAGTCTTCGACATCTATAAATTGAGGATCTCTGCTTCTCACAACAACAACAACAACAACAACAACAACAACAACAATATCCATGATGTAGTTATCAAAAGAGTCTTCTTTAAGGGGAAATTTTTCTCTCAATAGTTTTTTGTTTTTAAACTAATTTTTATATGTAGGTCAATTGATCAAACCCATTATATTATCCTATTTTAATATAATTCTTTTGTCATCTGATTTATCGTTCACTGAATTTTGTATTGTTAGCTTTCGGCTGCACCATGTTATTTCGATCCCAACATATACCTCGTTGAGAGCAAGTTTCCAGAAAATTTAGGGGCAGAAATACAATAAACTAAAAGTTATAAGATCAAGCATTTAATTTTGGAAAAATAATTTGTTAAATGCATGTCTATTACTCTTATAAGTAATTTCTTTGGCAAAATACATAGTTTACCCATCAAACTTGCACCGAAATCTCTGTTACACACCTTTTCTTCATGGATAATCTTTTAAACACCCAACCTTTTAAAAGTGTATCGAAAACACACCATTTTGATTATGTGTCACTCGCGTATTTTTCACACATTAAAGGCGAGTGGACAATTAAAACTTTGTGTCTAAAGGCTCATTTTGACAACACTTGTCCAGCCTTTTCATATTTTTATTTTTCTAAATCTTTTTCTTTATTTTTTAGAATAAAAAATCCACCATTCTTTTCCATCTTTTTTCAGTACTGCACCATCGCCTTCTTCTACAAGCATACCACCAAATATTTTTGTCAAGATTTAAAGGAGGATAAAAAGAAATCAGAGTTTCATATTCAATATAAAAATCGTTGAATGACGGTGTTACGATTGAGCTACCTGGGTGGCCAAATGCTGAAAGGAAAATTCGTGAAGTTTTTCATATGTGTTTCGTGAGAATTTATGGGTTCTAACTGGGTCTGTGGAGTTTCTTCCATTTCAGCCATTGATGGGTTGGGAATTTTGGGTTCTTAGGTTCTTTTTTGTTCTTACTGTTGCCGGTGTAAGCAATTTTGGTACCCAAACTATATAATCAATTGGTCAAAGCAAAGATACAAATACAAAAAATTTTAGGGAAAATATTTAATTGGTAGTGATGACAGAAATTCAATGTTATCCTAATAATTTGAAAATTAAAATTAAAATTAAAAATAAAGGTTCATGATTGCTAGTACAAAATTACTCACTTTGGGTGGGGTGGGGGAGGGGCAACCATGGTGGTATAACTTGGGGGAAGATGAAGAAGATGGATATTTACGCGATTTGTAACAAGACTACAATAGTGGCTATTTCGTGCAATGCATGCCATGTAAGATCTGACATGGAGCCCTCCATATATGTATATCATGCAAATCAAAGGCGAAATACATAAAATGCACCAAATCTTTTAGTTAAATCCCTCTTACACACCCGGCAATCACGGGAGTATTAGAATACATTCAAACTTTTTAAAGTATGTCTAGTAGACACCACTTTATCTAGGCAGCACTCCGCATGTCCTACACATGAATCAGGCGCGTTAATAGAAAATTTCTTATGTTTGAAGCTCTCTATGGATGCCACGTGTCCAACTGTTTCATTTTTTAATTTTTTTAATTTTATCATTTTCCTAATCGTTATCCCTCATCTTTAGGTGACCATTATCCCCATTTCCAAATTCAGGCAAACCTTCATTGTGGGTAACCCCATTTCTATTGGAGTTTGAATTTTGAGTTGTTGAATAAAGTGATATTGGGTGTTGGAAGTTGATTAATTAACTACTTTGAATCGAGTATTATTACTCACTCAAATTTTCGAATTTGAAGAGTAAAAAAAAAAAAGAGGTACCATTGAAGAAGCCTTCAATTGTACTCCTATTTAAAAACCCAGATTTGAAACCCGAATGTATTGGTGATTTATTGTTAAAAACTAATCTGGGAAGTCTAACATGGATTACCATGTGCACTTCACTAAATTTGAGCTCAAAAAAATATAAAAGGGAAGCTCGATCGCCGGAAAATATGGATGTCTTGCCGGAAAATATGATATTCTTTTGTCAATCGGTGCACTTTTTTTCTTCCTCTTTATTCTCTCTTTCTTCCAAATCAGTCTATATTTTCTAACTCTTCAAATTCGTTTTCAGTTATGTTCAACATATCAAAAAGTTTTACAAAAGTTTTCAAGAGATTCAAAGCTAAGAGAAAATCTTAACTCGATAGAAAATCAACTGTTGGGTGGGGGAGATTAAAGAACCGGGGAGGGGACTTGGGGAAGATGAGGATAGGGGTGGAGGGGAATTTCTTTTCTGTTTTTTTTTTCTTTTCTAAAATATTATCATTTGTGGTGTAGGCTCCTTTTTTTCTTTTTTTTGAGTTATGACACGTGTCACACTCTAATTAGCACGTGTGATGCAATTTTCAAATAGAAGTTGTCAACACAAAAATGGTGTGTAATAAAAATACCTCAAAAAATTTAGGTGTGTAATAATATTCCCGTAATTTTCCGGTGTGTAAGAGGATGACTACAAGATTTGGTGTCATTTTATGTATTTCGCCCAAATCAAACTCAAATTTTCACTCTTTAAGTTGACGATTGCAAAGGGGACACTAATCACGGCGGCCGATTCTCCAAGCTCAAATTCAAACGCCGTCCACTATCTTTCAAAATTATATTGCCGCTTTGGCTCTCAGGTAAATGGATCTCCCCCTTACCTATGCTTTTCTGCATCAATTCACGTGATTGGTTTTTGGGCTGTTCGTTTTTCACATCAACCCTAGTGAATTGACAATTTTTTCTTTATGCAATACTCTTAGTTATTGCCTGGGATTGAGGTGTAGTTGTTGTTATTGTTGCAATGCTCTGTTTCGTTTTGGCTTAATTTTGCAGCATTCGATTGCCTCATATATTGGCCTATATAGCTTTGTGGCAGATCGGCAGCTCGTGCGGGGTGCTCCTGTTGCTTTTACTATATAGTTGAATTTTTTCAATACACACACAATAACTTTACATAATACTGCCTCCAGGGCTTTGGTTAAGTAGTAAGAGCGAGCATGTGTTGTGTGCGTTAGGCGCATGTCAGAGATTTGAACCTTGCCTCAGACAGAAGCCTGCCTCCATGGCTTTGGTCTAAAGTTCGATATGTTTTAGCTGCCTTAGTAATCATGGAAAATAAGGTTCTTTAATGAGTTTTGTGTTTACTTGAATTGTGATTTCTTAATTAGGCAGTGATGATGTCAACACCAGCGAGGAAAAGATTAATGAGGGATTTCAAGCGGTTACTACACGATCCTCCTGAAGGCATCAATGGTGCACCTTATGACATCAATATAATGCTATGGAATGCTGTCATATTCGGGTATGGCATTTGGAATTGAATGAAAATCACGGTGTACCATAACTATTTGGAGTTTTAAAATGATTGCTCCTGCCCAAACAGCAGTATATTTGTACTTATAGCTTTTCTTTCCTTGAAATGCAGCCCTGATGACACTCCCTGGGATGGAGGTGAGGCAATGATACGTTGCTAATGACCACCTTTTGTTTGTGATGTGAATTAAACATTCGTGTTTAATAGCGCTCCATCATACCTATGCCTCATGAGATTTATTTATGCCTTGGCAATTGTATGAACAAATAAGGTGCCCCTATATGTTTTATATCAGAAAGTTAGCTGCATCAGGTGAAGATTTCTTGTGTCGATATGGTCCAGTTTGAGTTGCAGAATTGTAATTCAGGAGTCTTTGTAGGCAATTTGCTTTGTGCCTTCAATGCTGGGATGTTCTTGTTTTATCCTCCCAGTGAAGAAGGTTTTCTAGAATTGGTATTGGGTGGCTGGGTGCATAACCAGTGTCCTCTCCTAAGTTAAATATCCTTCTGCCCTAACTTTGATTGTTGGGTGATATTGTTTGCTTACAGGCACGTTTAAGCTGACTCTTCAATTTACAGAGCATTATCCTAACAGGCCACCAAAAGTGTACTTTATGTCCAGGATGTTCCATCCAAATAGTAAGTAGCTGAAGTATATCTCACCCCTCCTTTTCTTCTCCTCTTTATCTCTTAGCAGAGTTGTAATCCTTTGAGAGGATAAGAACGTTCATTATACTATAAATTGTGGAACAATAAGTCTGGTTGCATTTTCTCTTTTGCGTTCACATATGTGTGGGTGTTTGTATGCATGTATTGTTATGCAAGGAGGGCAAGGTCAGTTTGGTTTTATATCGTTACATTGTCAAGTCTTTTGCAAAAACAATCACAACTAATCATCAATGCCAAATTAGTTGGGGCTGGCTAGTGGCTATATGAATCATCACTATCTATTTTACGCCATTTGACCCAGCTCATTCCAATGTTCAATAAATTAGGTTCTCAAATCCTAGAAGTTCTCTCTACATTCTCTATTGATATACAATCCTCCAACAAGATTAAATAAGCCCCTAACGGATATTGAACTGAGCCAGCATACCAATAAAACTAAGCCTTAATCATAACTAGTTCGTATTGCTTATATAGATCTATTTCTTCCATTGTACTTTACTTTTTCCCAAGATTGCATGAATTTGAATAGATTGTTAGCCTGTCAAAAACGTGATTTTAGGTCTACCTTGTCTCCCTTTAACACTTAGAACCACCATGGTTTTTCACCTACACGCTGGTGCATTTGGAGGTCTAGATACAAAACCATTTCAAATGATCTTCTTTTATTTTTTCCTGATATCCTCTGTGTGCTACTTGTACTTGTATCCAATGTGTTCATGTCTAACCTTTTTGTTGAAAGAGGAGTAAAATCACTTTGTTTGAAATGTAGACATTTAATTCCTCTTGCGTCCTACTTCTGCTTCTTTTTTCATTTCATATTAGCTTATCTTATGCTTTTTCATATTGTCATGTTTAGTATAGTTTTTCTGATCTCTTATGCTTTTGCTTATTGTTGCTCAGTTTATGCTGATGGAAGTATTTCTTTGGACATCTTGCAAAATGAGTGGAGACCTATATATGATGTAGCTTCTATACTTATCTCAATACAGGTATTATGAGATGTTCTAAATGCAACACCATGCCTCGTTTCCATAAATAATTTTGAAGAATTAAAATGATTATTATTTTGGTTTTTTTGGGGGGGAGGGGGGAAGGTGGGGTGGGAATGCGTCGATGCATTTCTCCCACATAGTATGGACAACCTATGACCTGTTCTGCTTTATATCTGTGAATTCCAGTTTCTTACTTTAGATATTGAACTAGTATGTGCATGTTGAGGATAATCAATCAGTAGTTTGGTTGAACATATGAATAGAGGAAGAAAAGAAGCATCATGCACATGTTTGTAGCCTGAAGATAACATGGTTGTGTCTCAGAGTGACACTATTCTCAATGCTGATTCACAAGTTTTCAGTTCTCTCTTGAGATTACTAGTAGGTTAAGATTTACAATTTTGAATATCCGTGTTTAGTTTTGATAATTTAATCCACAGAAGCAAGTCTTTCTTCATTTCTCTAACTTTATTGTTTCAAGCAAATTTTTACTTATGTTTAATTCCCATGTAAAAAATGCTCTCATTAGTTGCACATACCTAGTACTATTTAGTGAGTTAGCAGCTTTTCTTGGCACTGGTATTTTAGTTATTTTTGTCATTGTTAATTCAAAAGTTGGTGGTTAGCATTGTCTCGTGTATTTTGATAAATTTCCAAATGTTATTTTCAAAAAGTAGGTAGATAAATCTCTGATGATGGACATATGAATCAGATCATTTTTTACACCACTTGGTGTTTACTAATGAAACTTTTTGTCTTATCAAAAAAAAAAAAAAATCAA